AAATAGAGTACTGAGCAGTTCATATGCTACAGAGTTTTTTTTTTTTTTTTATCAGAACCAAGTGTGTATGCAAGCAATATGTATGAAGTAACTTCAAAAGAGAAGCATGTGTGTTTCCTCTACAGGCAGAATCTGATATTCTATATCTGTGACCTCTGTGAAGAGCAGGGTTCACATTTGGTGGGTCACAGTGGTTGAGTAACACTGACAGAGGCCCAAGGGACAAAGAATGGACTTAAATCGCAGACAACTTCAGAAGGCAAGCAGATATTTCAGAAAATGTTCAGTTCCTGTCAACCTCTATCCCTAGATGTAACATGCCAAGGGTCTCACCTCCATTTTGCTGCTTGTCTCTGATCCTGTTTAGTAACCAAGTGATGGCCTCTGCTTTAGTGTCATCAGCCAGCTCCAGGACCACCAGAGGGGTGAACGAAGAGACATCACTGTCAGAAAACGACAAGCCGAGATGCATTTTTCCTGATCCCTGTGTTATACACAGACCAAGAGAGGCAAGGGGCAAAAATATATATATATAAATAAAACATATCACTCTCCTCAAGATTCAGATGCAGAATATACACCACAAGAAACACCACACATTTCACCCAGTGAGGATTGAGCCTTATTTGCATCCACAACTGCTTATGGAAATATTTTCCTGCTACTCAGAAGTATCAAATGCAAATAGGTAATTCGAACAATTAGGTGTCGCAATAAAAGTCATGCCATCATGTTAAAGACATTACATTGTGTATTGCTTGATGGTGAAGACATATCATATAAAATTCACCGTGTGATATGACTCACTATTCCAATATCCTCTATTCCAATATTCATTAAAATCGATTTTTTACTTTTTATTCATCAAAAAATCGTACAAAAATGACCTTGGTTTCCCACAAAAAAAAATATTAAGCAGCATAACTACTTAACTTTAAATGTTTCTTGAGCACCAAATCAGCTAGATAGAATAATTCCTGAAGGATCATGTGACACTGAAGACTGGAGTAATGATGCTGAAAATTCAGCTTTACCATGACAGGAATAAATTACATTTTAAAATACATTAAAATAGAAAACAGATATTTAGAATTGTAATAATATTTCACAATATTACTGTTTTTACTGTATTTTTGATCAAATATATGCAGGCTTGGTCAGCATAGGAGATGCATATCCATTTTGATAGTCAAAAAAAGAAGCAATAACACAACTGATGACAGAATAGAATAGAAGATGCTAGAAGAGCTGGTGTTTGGAACTATTGCACTAATTATGTGTTCATTGCAGTGCACTGTCAGTTCCACACTCTGAAATATTCTGGTCAATCGTGGCATTGAGCAGTCGAATCCTTTTTTTATTTTGCATTATATTTTTGTAACTACACCATATTTCACCTGACCATATAGCAACATACCAGTGATATTTTCATGTCTCTTGTATCACTCTGTGGTCTCTATTTTTTCATACCCAAAGACCAGCCAACAGACCAGGGTTATTAACTTTGCGATAATGATCAGCTGACCAACTGTCCATTATCCATTAGCCTATGTATACAATGTCTGTATTGTGCCTATACTGTGTATAAAGTGTGAAAAACAATCAAATCATCGAAATCATAACTAGTTGTATAAATAAATATATTCATATAAATATGAAGCTGACATTTCACCAGTGTCGATTTATAAAAGTCAGCATTTAACAATTTACTCTTCAAATGTGCATTTTGTTATTTCAGTGAAAAAAATGACTACAACTCTACATTTACTGCATCAAGCCTAAAATTAAAATCCATTTTAAAGCGATAGTCCGTCCAAAAAATAAACTTTAGGTTCCCATTGACTTACATTGTATAGACAAAAAAAAAAGAAGACGACAATTGAAGCTAGTCATTGGGAACCAAAAGTTTTTGGTTACCAACTTTTTTTCTTGTTTAATCTTCTTTAGAGTTCCATAGAAGAAAACGAATGCTTGGAACTACTTGAGGGTGAGTAAATAAGATTTGTGGGTGAACTATCCCTTTAACAAATAGTAGAACATTAATTAATAAAGAGGAAAACCAGAGGAAGACCTTATTTACAACTCAACAAACTGGTCTGGTTTGGACATAATCAAATACATGACATCCTTCAACCTCAGAAGGAAAGTTGAAGGAAAGTCTGGAAAGGGACTTAAAGTAGATAGCAGAGCTTTTCCAAGCAATCTGCTATTCCACTGCACTCCAGATAAAAGATCAAGAAGCTTCAGGAAGTTGGTGTGCTGCTTCAGGGCCTGCCACATTATACCAAAGAATGCTTAGGAAGAATGTGAGACGATCAGTAAAAATGTTGAAGCTGAGTTTTGAACATAATAATTACCCAGAACATGCGAGCAAATCCACAAAAGAATGGCTCTGAAGCAAGAAATGGAAGGGTTAGGAATGGCAAAGTCAAAGTCCAGACCTCAATCCAATTGAAATGTGATGGGGTGCAAGAAAACCCTCCAATATCACACAGTTAAAAGGATAGTTCACCCAAAAATAAAAAAATCTGTCATTATTTACTCACCCTCATGTCATTCCAAACCCCATAAGACTTTCGCTAATCTTCGGAACACAAATGAAGATCTTTTTGATGAAATCTGAGAGCTTTCTGTCCCTCCATTGACAGCTACGCCTGTACGCCACTACCACTGTGACACTTCAAAAAGTTCATAAAGAGATCACTTTATATGATGAACAGATTTAATTTAGGCATTTATTCACATAACATTAATCAACTCACACAGCAGTTGAGGTAAACGGAAGCTCAAGCATGTTCGCTTGACGTGCGAGAACCAATGAGGTTCATTCTCGTGTTACGCAGCACGTTTGAGCTTCAGCAAGAACCAATGAGGTTTGTTCTCGAGCATCAAGCAGTTCGGTTGACCTTCTGTTTATGTTCACATCAGTTTTTAAATGTGAATAAAAGCATAAATTAAATCTGTGCATCATATAAAGACTTATGGGTTTGAATTGACATGAGGGTGAGACAGAATTTTCATGTTTGGGTGAACTATCTCTTTAACAATTGTAAGAAAGACATACAGAAAGCTATTAAGGGGTAGCCTACTTATTCTCTTCAAAGTCAAATTTGTATTGTTATTGTTAAATTATATTACACATATATTTGCAATATGTTTCTAAAAGCTTTCTATACGGGTTATGTTTGGGGGTAACGTTAGGGTTAGGAGATCAAAATTGCATTGGTTCAATATAAAAACAACTTAAGTCAATGGAAAATCCCCAAAAAGGTTGTTTTGTATTTTGTGTCTGCCTGCTTTTATACTGCAAATTGTCTGATGTGATTAATAATGCATGTAGCCCATGTATCTATACAAATGAATTGTCTCTGCCTATTCAAAAAGGTCGAATAAACTCTTTAACAACACCTAATATGTTCTACCCAACATCACCAATTTGAATGCATCAATAAACATGCAATATGCAATTCAGATAAAAACCAGAAAAGCAACATTGCACGAAAAGGTGTGGCAAGAAAACGGAAACCTAAAGACACTAAACCTGGAGGACTATCCCGGTGTTTTTGGACATGTCTCGGGAAACACAGCATGTGATTCTTATTACAGTATGAAAAACACAATATCTCATTTCTTTGGACGTCTTGACAGATCACTGGGCGGAGCTAAACACGCATGCCATGCCCGACAAGGAAACATATACAAAGACAGGCTATATGTGATCCCAGTCACATGTATAAGGATAGCTTGCAAATGTAACCTCTTTTTACCACTTTGCGATGCTTTAACGCTAGTAAAATAACATATTAATGACACAAGCCGCATGACAGGCCTGACACCCCACTGACATGTAAACTGTCTACTCACAGTGTTGCGCGCGCAATCAGCTGTCCGGAACGCGAAGCAGACGTCAGTCCTGCACTTCAGACGCCCATTTAAGCTAGTTTATTTAAAAACCTTGATTTGGTTTGGGTATAATTCAAGTGTATGAGCCGGAGAGGTTTAAAGTTAAGGCTGACTTGAGTTCCTCCACGTCATCGAGATGGCACAGCCCTATTCTAGATCACACCCACCCACCGTTCAAACCTGTTATACAAACACATGTTCAACAGTGAGTGATTTATCAACACTGATTTAGAAATGCAGACAGAACCTACAGTAAATGCGCTTGAAATAGATCCGCTTAGTTATTCGTGTTTACGCCGTTTTCATTGTCGCGTTTTAAAATCAAAGAAAATAAACATATTTGTGCCTTCAAACAATACGTGTGCAGTGAAAACCACTTCTGAACTGTAAATTTAACTCTGATAATTATCAGTAACGTTAGACAGCTGGGAAGACCCGATCAAAGTTCACTGTTGACGCTTTGTCACGTGATCACTGTTAGTGATGTACGAGTCGTGAATGAATCGACTCTCTTGGTCCGGTTCTTTGTAATGAACCAGTCTGAATTGATTCGCAAACCAGATGGTTAAGCTTCACTATTTCTAGCATATCTTCAAGTTAAATGAGTTTGTGTAAGAAGTTTACACGTGCTACAATGGACACTATTGCTTTTACTATAGAGCAATGCATATGAATATCAGTATTTTATTGTGTTTTGTGCTCATAGAAGTCAGTCAGAATGTGATTGTCAGAAATAGTAGAGAATGCTATTCTAAATTTAGCCTAAATTGTTTCAACAATTTGTTTAAAGAACTGGTTAAAACGTAAATAAAGAATTCAGTGATTATAGTTTACGATTACGTCCTCACGCGATTTAATTTATTTAATTTTTATCATTTCTTTGTATCTGACAATTTACTTTGTTTTTATCCCAACAGTTAATCACCCTGCAAATGCTCCTACTATCATTTTACTCGGGTTTCTGGTTTCTGCCAGGCTCTGGTTTCTGCTAATCATGTACGAACTAGGAACTACGAAGGAGACATTCAGTCCGTTTTTTGAACTCGTTCAACTGATTCAATAAAAGATTCGACTCACAAGAACATAATGTACACAATTCTCTGTGTAACTGAACAGTGAACAGCACTGTGTTGAAAACATGGCTGAGGTGACAGTGTTAGCGGACACTGGGTAAGTCACTTACTAAGTGACCCTCTAAGCACACATTTGCTTAAAAAATGTAAATGGTGTGAATTATATGTGCGTTGCTATTGTTGTCGTTTAGTTAGATTTATTCGTTTTCGTTTGCACGCCGTACGCGAACTGTTTGTGTACTGTCAGTGTTTATCAATAAAACCTGAGGTTGTTGTTAATGTAGGCTTTACGTTAACTTAACGTTACTTCTTACAATTCTTTCTGTCTGTCAATTCTTCTTTTATTAATAAACTCTTTGAATGATTACAAAACTGATATCTAACTAAATTGTGAATTGCCTGTATTGTAATACAATTACAGTATGTCTTTGATTGACATCACTTTCACATTCTCTTGGCTTTAGACTGGCACAGCGTGTACTGATGTTTCTTGGTATTCGTAGTCTCTTCTACAGTGTTTTCTCTTTCTTGGACAAGACAGTGAGGTAAAATGTGTCCAAATGTAATTAATAAACTAACTCTACTAAGTGCCTCTAAGTTTTGGTCACTTTACAGTGTTCATGCTATAAACTACTGTGTAATCCTAATGAGCAACATGTGGCTATACTAAATGTGAACCAATATTCTAAATCAAATTTAAATCTACCAAATCTTTTCCCTCCTATTTATGGAAAATTATAGTGTTTTCAGTGGCATTGTTTGGCCAAAGTGGGTATTTTATGCAGGTACTAAAAAAACCTGTTCAGTTTTGTAAGTTGTTTAATAAAGTATTTTGTCTCAAGATAATAGCTTCAGAGATTCTCATTAACTGTCTAAATCATCAATATTTAAATAAAAGAAAATTATTTCAATGATTTGTTCATTTAATAATCATGAGTCAGTCATTGCTCCTGTTATTGCTCTTGATGACCTCATGGTAAATTAGGGCAATTTCACAGTACATAGCAACAGTCAGATATATAGTACTAATTAGTTTTGGTACGTTTAGCCATATTGTACCTTACTTAATATGCTCTTAACCGCCGGCGGGCCCATTTGCCATTGCATGTTTAAAACAATAATATCTTAGTAAAAACCTAAAGTAATATTGCCAAACTATATATCATTTGAAAGCTTAAAATATCTAGTTTTCATATTTGGTGGCTGTTATCTAAAATATATTACAGAGGAGCAGAAATTTATCAATTTGCAACAAGAATATTTCATATTCATTAGGAGTATTTAGGCCTTTATTTTGAAATAACAATAAACATGAAAGATTGGTAGAAACCTCAGTTTGTTTTCATGCCATGAGTTCAAAAGATAACACCAATTCCATTTTATGAGAAAAAAAGGTCTGAAAATGTTTTAAATATAAAGAAAAATGTATGGATTCTCAATTTGTAATGCGGCTGCGAGCTATAACGCTATAACGTAGTCTTTATGCATTTATTAGAGGTTTAATTCAAATCAAATACTGCCAAACCACCCATACTACTTCTGAATAGGATGTCTACTTCATAAATTGTATGAAAATTATGGAAATACATGGTTCAGATCACTCAAAACATATGAAAATGGAGGCGCCCTTATATGGGCAGTAATGGAGTCTGGTGTTCACCTAGTGAAAAAGTTGGGTACTGCGCCCGAATAAAATCTTACTGAAAGCTCATTTTTTGAGATATCAACCTAAAATTTGGAATACAACTTGTTCAGATATTTGACTTTAATTTTCTTGCAGTTTTAGAGTAAAATATATTTTGTAATATATATATTTTATATAAAATATTAATCATTATATTTTTACATTACACAATTTCATAAACTCAAACTTATATAACTTTTTTTCTGTTTCATTTTTTACAATTTCTAGACTTCTACAATAATCTGGAAAATGTCTTCTTTAAAACAAGACCAGCCATAGGCCTATATTCCAAAGCATTCCTGAATTACAACCATTTAAGTTTGGATAGTGATTTTTATGTCTATGCAAAAAAAAGGGGGGTGCCAGTTAACAGGTTAATATGTGATTATTTTGTCAGAATGAGCACAACTATACAGTATACATATTCAATATACCATTATCATAATATGTGTAACATGGACACTGTAATGTACAATTTTGTTACAATGTACAATAAGTTATATGAAGTAATTCCTCAAGGTCTAAGGGCGTGTGTCCTCTGAAAGCAGATTTTAAAGCCTACTTAATATTTCCTGTATATGTTATTTATTAATCAGCCTAATTAATGAATTAATTTTTTGCCCTGAAAGCAGATTTTAACCTGTCATTATTATCATTAATTGTTGTTGTTGGTGTTGTAAAGAACAAACAGTTTCAGCCATCTCATGATAGTTTCTTTCTAAGTGAAATAAGAACGAGAAGCTCACATTTAATTGTATTGTAGGTCATGGTGGATTACCGACTGGCTGCCGTCCTGGTGCCCAACATCTCAGAGCCAACTGAAGGAGGCAGAAGAGAGGATGCTGTACTGTGAGTAACACCAACCATTGTCAAATCAAAATGTAAACTCCAAACTTTTCAGGTTTTTGTTAGGTATTGCAAATTGTCTCTAGAATTATTGGTTTCACTTTATTTGGATGGTCCCTTTAACACATTCAGTTGACTATAAGTAACGTTGCACCTACAGGTCTACTAACTCTCACTAGAGTGTTAGTAGCAGACCGGTAGGGTTAGGGATAGAATAAGTTGACAAGTAGTTGCAAAGTTACTTATAGTCAGTAGAATGTCTGTTGGAGGAGCATCACAATAAAGAGTTGGCAAATGAGCAGACAGTCTAATAATACTCTAATGAGAGTTAGTTGACATGTAGTTGCAAAGTTACTTATAGTCAACAGAATGTTCAAAAGGGACCATCAAAATAAAGTGTTACCGAATTATTTAATAAACATAATTGATGATGATCAATATACAGAGTGGCAATAATAAGTTTAGTTTCTGTTTACACCAAAATCAAATAGTTGAATTTTGCCTTGTTGGCGGAGGCTATTTACACTAGCTCCGCCCACTATTGTCTGGTTGAGTGAGACAAAACTACAAAAGAAACCCATTTGAAAACAGGAGCAGTGGAGTGGAGAGAAAAGGGGCGTTACAAAACCATTTTCAACTAAAAACGGAAAACTTTTTATGCGTTTTGGTCGTTCATTTACTCAACAACGGTGTTTTGGGGGCCTGAAAACGCAAACTTTTGAAAACAGGTTTCAAAGTGGAAGTTTTTTTTAAAACAATACCGTTATCGTCTCCGTGTAAACTACAAAAACACGAATTTCTGAAAATGGTGACGTCATGCGCCTGCGTATTTTGTGTTCAATAGTTTTTCTTTACGTTTTTTTTTTTTTTTTTTTTTTTAAATCTTTAACGCATTGTATTGTTACTATTATAACGAATGTGAACTGGAAAGACTGAAATGTTGTTATATATTTTTTAAAAACTAATAAAAAAAAATATAAAAAAAAAAGTTTTTCTTTACAAAGTGACATCGCCAACTACTGGCCTAGCAGAATACAGCGTTTTAGTCATTTTCGTGAATCGTGTGATGGGGATCGTTTTGATAACGTTGTCGTCTGTACGCGAAAAACACAAAGGAAAAACGTTTCCTTTTTTAGTACATCGTTGTCTTGTAAACATACCCTCAGGCGTGTGCTGTTATGCGACCAAAACAAGTTCGAATCTGCCTTTTTAATAGTGGGAATAAAGTGTTTAACATGTTTTTAATTGACCTATAATTGAAATTGGATGTGGTGTCCTCATGATTGTTGATCGGATGTGCCGGCACTACGGACGAGCTCAACCACGACACATGTAGCTCATATTACCACACTCAAAACCATGGTTTCTTTACTGGACCTTCGAGGATACATTTACTGATCAGCAGGTTTAGTATGAACCTCTGACATAGGTGTAGAGGTGTGCTTTAGGGATAAGGACAAGTAATGTCCTAATATGGCAGCATCCATTTATGATTTTAGTAAATAATCAAATACACTGAATATGTTGTTATTATTGCATACTGTTTTTTTTAATTACTACAATACACTGAGGTGTAAATAGTATGCCACTCTTCCACTAAGTATAAATAGCATCTAACTACAATGTGCACACTTAGGGTAAAGAAATACTGCTATTTTCTCTTAGTGTAAATAACATTTAATGCTTTTTTGCATACAAATAGTCTTTGCCAAACATATCTGGATTTCTGCATTGATTACTCAAAAAAAGTGGTCTCATCTTAATTTAACTCAGTTGACGCACACAATCTGACTAAACTAATAAAGCACAAGCGATTATACTTTTCACATTTTTATTAAATACATCAAGTAATCATTCACAGTGCATTGAGCAGAATTTTACTTGTAATAAAATAAGGTCTGCACTAGATATATGAAAATGCTTAGCTTATTTTATTCATATAGGTAAAAAAAACATATTTAAAGAGTGAAGATAATAAACTTATTGTTATTAACTTATTTCTAAGTTGGAATGTTTTAGTATGAATATATACTCTATATATATTTGCGAAAGTGTATGTCTGCGGCAAAGTGTATATGTGTGTGTGTGTGTGTGTGTGTGTGTATATATATATATATATATATATATATATATAATTTTCTTCTAAGGTAACCTTTGCAGATACATTTTATGTGCCCTTTATAATACAGACACCTTTTCTTTTTATTCCTTTCAGACGTCACAAGCAAGTTCTGCAGGCAGTTTGTTCACATATCTGACAAAAACACACTGTGGACTTTGGTATTTAAGGGGTCCGTGGACAATAAAACCCCTCTGGTTCTGCTGCATGGATTTGGGAGTGGTGTGGGATTCTGGGCCTTGAACCTGGACTCTCTCGCTCAGCAGAGGCCCGTTTACGCCTTCGACCTGCTGGGCTTTGGCCAGAGCAGCAGACCTCTCTTCAGCAGGGACGCCCAGGAGGCTGAGCTCCAGTTTGTTGAGTCCATCGAACAGTGGAGGGAGAAACTGGGCTTGGAAAGTATGATTATGTTGGGCCATAACCTGGGAGGATATCTGGCTGCCTCCTACGCAATCACATACCCAGATAGGTTTGTAACTAAAAAGACAGAAAAGAGTTCAGCTTTAGCAAAATATATATTTATTATAATCCTCTACTTGAGTGAGGGATTTAATACTATGCAAGCACAAACATTTATAAGTAAATATCTACATTAGAGCAGAGTGTCTTTGATTGATTTACAAATTGTCATATTGATTGATGAATGGCTGTTGCATCTTTTTTGTGGTCATTTTTGATAATCATAAAAGTTTTAATGATACTCCTGGCAGAGTTTAACAAATGTCAGAATTTGAGAATTGGCTGCCTTGCATTTCATGAATTTGAATTTGAAATGAATTGTCAATTTAACACAGAGAATTACATTAGTTTTAAGACAAAACAACATATTGCATCATTCATAATTCTGCCTATTTATTACTAATTCTGCCTAAATACATTTATCTCATCTAATTTGAATGCTTATTACTTAAGTTAACTGCCAAAACAATTAACACAGCATCAAAGCAAATTTTTATTTTATTAAATAAATATGGACATATGTAAATTAGTACATTAGAGCAGTGTGTATACAAAGTGTTGTTTCCTCCATGGTCCATAACAATTATTAATGTTATCTAATGTTTCTGGGAATACCCCATGTGATGTGAATGAGATCATATATTTCTGCATAATTCATACAGAAAAATGAATTGCATTATTGAAAACACTGTTTTTCAGATCCTTCCTGTTTCCCCATTTCCCACAAGCTTTATGTCTGTCAGCAGTTTGACCTCAGAATTTGATTCGAAACTATTTTTGTTAGCATCCGATTTCAACAAGCATTAGAGTTGCTACATATTCCATATTTTCGCTTCTATCCTGCCATATTTATATAACGTATTTAAAACCTTTTTCCTTAAAACAAAATTTTCTTCATGCCTTTAAATAGCTTGAATGTAACTCTACACCCTTGCCTCATTTAGTAAGCGTGTTAGTTAGTAGTTAGTGACGTCAGCAACACCAGCGATCTCAAACCATGTTTTTGAGCCTGTCTTTGGTTCATTGCAGTTTTAAGGAGAGAATACACAGCAATGCTGTTGACTTGTGAATTTGCACATTGTTTGTCTTTAAAAACACCACATAGACATCTAAACAACATTAAAAACTTAATTTTCACTACAGGGGGACTTAAAAAATACATTTGGTCAGTGTAACTAGTTGTAGCTAGATGTAACTCCATTTAGTTGTGATTCAATTGAAAATATGCTACAGATATATTACAGTATGTCCTTCTCTTTACCCACTGTCCAGAGTAAAGCACCTGATTCTGGTGGAACCGTGGGGTTTTCCAGAACGTCCTGACCCAGGAGACCAAGATAGGCCCATTCCTATGTGGATCAAAGCAATAGGGGCAATGCTGAGCCCATTCAACCCCCTCGCTGGTCTCAGATTGGCTGGACCTTTAGGTAAGATTTACTCTAATCTGAGAGTGCAAATCAAACGTAATAAAAGTATTAATGAGAAAAAGAGAAATTACAGCTTAAGGCTCAAGATGTGCTTGTATATCTTAAATGATGTGGAACACCATTTGATAAAGATTGTCAGTAATGAAACCCAGGGACAGATTTAGCCAAGACGTCGCACTTGCAATTTCACTGAAATGATTCACTCAGTAATTGGAGCATGTCTTTTTTCATACGTCATACTTGTCTCATATCGCATACCTTAATCACATTGCCTTCTGTGTATATGATGCACTTGTTTTACAAGAACAAATTGGCTTTGGAAAAAATCCTAGAATTATCAAGGATCTGAAAATTTGTGTTTTGAATTTCATAGATTAATATTAATGATGTTCCACTCATATTTTACCAAGCTAGCTTTTTAATATCTCATCTGAGATCATATTTCATATCTCTTTCTCTCTTTTCCTTTTTTCCACACCGATAATGTTTGTTTTTGTTGTATATGAATTTCAGATAGATCCAAAAATGATGTGTCACCTCAGTGTTTTTGATTGCTAGTTTAGTATAAAACTACCCAGTATTTTAGGAGAACCAAAACCTCATACCCAGAAACCCCCTGACTCAGGATAGTTGTGATCATACACAAGCCCAGATGGAATCTTCTGATTTTCACATTTTATGGGCTGATTTCTTAGGCAAATCTACAGAATTATGTGGAATGGATATTAAAGGAATAGTTCAACCTAAAATTTAAATTCTGTCATTAATTACTCATTTTCATAACAAACCCCATAAGACTTTCACTCATCTTCAGAACACAAATTAAGATCTTTTTGATGAAATCTGAGAGCTTTCTGTCCCTCCATTGACAGCTACGCCACTACCAATTTGACGCTTCAAAAAGTTCATAAAGAGATCGTAAAACTTATCCATATGAATTGAGTCCAAATTTTCTGAAGAGACGGTCATGAATATGATGAACAGATTTCATTTAAACATTTTAACATTGTTCATCGAACATAAACAGAAGCTCAACCAAACCTGCTTGGCGCGCAATAATGAATCTCATTTGTTCTTACTGAAGCTCAAACGTGCTGCGTAACATGAGAATGAACCTAATTGGTTCTTGCAAAAGCTCAAACGTGCTGCGTAACACGAGAATGAACCTAATTGGTTCTTGCAGAAGCTCAAACGTGTTGCGTAATACGAGAATGAACCTCATTGGTTCTTGCAGAAGCTCAAACGTGTTGCGTAATACGAGAATGAACCTCATTGGTTCTTGCTGAAGCTCAAACGTGCTGCGTAACACGAGAATGAACCTCATTGGTTCTTGCAGAAGCTCAAACGTGTTGCGTAATACGAGAATGAACCTCATTGGTTCTTGCTGAAGCTCAAACGTGCTGCGTAACACAAGAATGAACCTCATTGGTTCTTGCAGAAGCTCAAACGTGCTGCGTAACACGAGAATGAACCTCATTGGTTCTTGCAGAAGCTCAAACGTGTTGCGTAATACGAGAATGAACCTCATTGGTTCTTGCAGAAGCTCAAACGTGTTGCGTAATACAAGAATGAACCTCATTGGTTCTTGCAGAAGCTCAAACGTGCTCCGTAACACAAGAATGAACCTCATTGGTTCTTGCTGAAGCTCAAACGTGCTGCGTAACACGAGAATGAACCTCATTGGTTCTTGCAGAAGCTCAAACGTGCTGCGTAACACGAGAATGAACCTCATTGGTTCTTGCTGAAGCTCAAACGTGCTACGTAACACGAGAATGAACCTCATTGGTTCTTGCTGAAGCTCAAACGTGCTGCGTAACACGAGAATGAACCTCATTGGTTCTTGCAGAAGCTCAAACGTGCTGCGTAACACGAGAATGAACCTCATTGGTTCTTGCTGAAGCTCAAATGTGCTGCGTAACACGAGAATGAACCTCATTGGTTCTTGCAGAAGCTCAAACGTGCTGCGTAACACGAGAATGAACCTCATTGGTTCTTGCTGAAGCTCAAACGTGCTACGTAACACGAGAATGAACCTCATTGGTTCTTGCTGAAGCTCAAACGTGCTGCGTAACACGAGAATGAACCTCATTGGTTCTTGCAGAAGCTCAAACGTGCTGCGTAACACGAGAATGAACCTCATTGGTTCTTGCTGAAGCTCAAACGTGCTACGTAACACAAGAATGAACCTCATTGGTTCTTGCAGAAGCTCAAACGTGCTGCGTAACACGAGAATGAACCTCATTGGTTCTTGCAGAAGCTCAAACGTGCTGCGTAACACAAGAATGAACCTCATTGGTTCTTACAGAAGCTCAAACGTGCTGCGTAACACGAGAATGAACCTCATTGGTTCTTGCAGAAGCTCAAACGTGCTGCGTAACACGAGAATGAACCTCATTAGTTCTTGCTGAAGCTCAAACGTGCTACGTAACACAAGAATGAACCTCATTGGTTCTTGCAGAAGCTCAAACGTGCTACGTAACACAAGAATGAACCTCATTGGTTCTTGCAGAAGCTCAAACGTGCTGCGTAACACGAGAATGAACCTCATTGGTTCTTACAGAAGCTCAAACGTGCTGCGTAACACGAGAATGAACCTCATTGGTTCTTGTTGAAGCTCAAACGTGCTGCGTAACACGAGAATGAACCTCATTGGTTCTTGCTGAAGCTCAAACGTGCTGCGTAACACGAGAATGAACCTCATTGGTTCTTGCTGAAGCTCAAATGTGCTGCGTAACACGAGAATTAACCTCATAGGTTCTTGCTGAAGCTCAAATGTGCTGCGTAATACGAGAATGAACCTCATTGGTTCTTGCAGAAGCTCAAACGTGCTGCGTAACACGAGAATGAACCTCATTGGTTCTTGCAGAAGCTCAAACGTGCTGCGTAACACGAGAATGAACCTCATTGGTTCTTGTTGAAGCTCAAACGTGCTGCGTAATACGAGAATGAACCTCATTGGTTCTTGCAGAAGCTCAAACGTGCTGCGTAACACGAGAATGAACCTCATTGGTTCTTGTTGAAGCTCAAACGTGCTGCGTAGCACAAGAATGAACCTCATTGGTTCTTGCAGAAGCTCAAACGTGCTGCGTAACACGAGAATGAATCTCATTGGTTCTTGCAGAAGCTCAAACGTGCTGCGTAACACGAGAATGAACCTCATTGGTTCTTGCTGAAGCTCAAACGTGCTGCGTAACACGAGAATGAATCTCATTGGTTCTTGCAGAAGCTCAAACGTGCTGCGTAACACGAGAATGAACCTCATTGGTTCTTGCTGAAGCTCAAATGTGCTGCGTAACACGAGAATGAACCTCATTGGTTCTTGCTGAAGCTCAAACGTGCTGCGTAACACGAGAATGAACCTCATTGGTTCTTGCAGAAGCTCAAACGTGCTTGAACACGAGAATGAACCTCATTGGTTCTTGCAGAAGCTCAAACGTGCTGCGTAACACGAGAATGAACCTCATTGGTTCTTGCAGAAGCTCAAACGTGCTGCGTAACACGAGAATGAACCTCATTGGTTCTTGCTGAAGCTCAAACGTGCTGCGTAACACGAGAATGAAGCTCATTGGTTCTTGCAGAAACTCAAACGTGCTGCGTAACACGAGAATGAATCTCATTGGTTCTTGCAGAAGCTCAAACGTGCTGCGTAACACGAGAATGAATCTCATTGGTTCTTGCAGAAGCTCAAACGTGCTGCGTAACACGAGAATGAACCTCATTGGTTCTTGCTGAAGCTCAAACGTGCTGCGTAACACGAGAATAAACCTCATTGGTTCTTGCTGAAGCTCAAATGTGCTGCGTAACACGAGAATGAACCTCATTGGTTCTTGCTGAAGCTCAAATGTGCTGCGTAACACGAGAATGAACCTCATTGGTTCTTGCAGAAGCTCAAACGTGCTGCGTAACACGAGAATGAAGCTCATTGGTTCTTGCAG